TTTGGGTCTGGAGCTGGCTGGCATTGGCTCTACTGGACATGGGAGAAGCTTCTTGCATCTTCTCACAGAAAGCAATCCTGTAGCTCCCTGCCCTCCCCTTCCTCCCCACTCCCCCAAACCTTACTGTGCAAACACAATACAAGTGTGTTTGCAGAACACTGATTTTTACGTAAGAAAAAAGTCTCATGACTAAACTAGTTTGAGAACTGGAGTAAAGATGGTAAAAAATTCTGTAGTAGCTGAAGAGTGTTCTACAATCCTTACATTTTAGGCTGCTTCTTACTTCACTGTTTCACTCTCATGGGAAGCAAAACCAAAAAAGCACCACCAAACACAGCATGAAATAGGCTTTAGGTCTAATATTTAGATATTTTCCCAATGGCAACATTTGTCTTCTACAATGCAGTGCAGAAGTATGACAAGCCTAGACCTCCAGAAGATCAAACATAAAAGAAAATTACATAGAACCGTACAAAATAACACTACAGCTGAAATAAAAGCAACCAAAACAAACACATTGCTTATGTATCTGAAAGCATCTGCAAGCAATAACTGAAACAGAGAGGCATACTAAATCATTGCTGTGCTGGGTTTTGCTGGGATAGACTTAATTTTCTTCATAGCAGTCTTTATGGTGCTGTGTTTTAAATTGGTGACCATGTCTGGTTGATCATACACCAATGTTTTATAGCTGTTGCTGAACAATGCCTTACACACCATCATGGCCTTTTCTTTCTCATTCTGTTCCCAACCCAGTGATGAGGCTGAGGTGGACAAGAGGCTGGGACAGGACACAGCCAGGACAGCTGGCCCCAGTTGACCAAAAAGATACTATATAATGTCATGCTCAGCGATAAAACTGTATGTGGGGGGCAGTTTTTCTAAGGTAGCTGTTTCCTGGGGTGTTGTGATGCTGACTTATTGCCTCATGGTGCTGACTGACTGCCTTTGCATCACTTGTTTTTTGTTGCCCTCCTTTTTCCCCCTCCAGTCCCATTCACTTATTAAACTGTCTTAATGTTGACCTTCAAGTTTTTTTCACCCTTGCTTCCGCCCTTCTGATTTTGTCCCCCACCCTGAGGAGGAGGGAGCAAACAAGTGCCTGGGTGAGGGCTTAGCTGCTGGCTGTGGTTAACCCACCACAATAATTTAATAACAACACATAATTTTCATGAAGTGGGGGAAAAAAAAGCAGCTGGAAAGGAAAAAAAAACCAACACCAAACTTTTTCCTTTCTAATTTCTGTCTCACTTCCAGTTTTGACCCTTCCCCCAATTACCTCTTCTCTCTATATATGAGAGATACATAAAAACATTTAAAAAAAAAACTTGGCTATTTTAGGGATACTGTGACACCCTGAGCTAAAAGTACCACACATTTTTGCAGCAGAAAAAGGAAAAACATTGTCTTGAAAAATTCAACCAAAATCCAACTCAATAGGTAATTAATGCACAGGGTAATACTGAAAAATTATATCTTCCAGCTACGAGTTTATTAATCTTACCTCCATTGCGTAGTTCTGGAAAATGCTGGATAAACTAGTATTATGTGAAGAGCTGTGCTCTGACTTCTCAGACTCTAGAACTTTCATACTTCTTGGGAATGAAACTTCACCTGTACAGGAAGAGTTGTTTGGGTCTTCAAGAAAGAAGTAATTCATCCATACCCAAAGAAAAGTATTTCTGTTCGACCAGGACAGAAAATTGTACCAGAAGATCTCCAAAGGTACGTGTAGCTCTGTTAACTTCACTGATATTATAATTAAAATAGACAAATATCATTTTTGTGACTAACATTTCAAAGTTATTTTTGTCTAACACAATACATCACAGATGGTAAAAGGAAAAAAAGGATCAGTGAGTAAAACGTGAAAATACAAAGAGAAAGAATAAAGAATGACAAAGAGCACTTAGGATTCCTCAACATATATACACCAAAAAGTTGTTCAAGAGTTCCTGAAGGATACATCCATATGTAAACAGCGAACAGAAGGATAGCACCAGGAGAAACACATGATACTAAATAAGCCATTACTGTGCTTTAATTTTCCCTGGCTAACATTGCAGTAAACTATTAAAAATAATCTTTCTTTGGTAAGGCTGGGATTTAGGGTCATGAGCTTTGTCCAGGACAAGAGGATAAGGAGTTGAAATATATTTACCAGAATAAAATGGTTAGAATCAAGTTTTAGGAAGCAAAACTATCGGCATTATTTTCTTTGACAAGTCCAGTCACACATTCCTATTCAAAATATCACTATCAGAGTCCCCTTGTCATAAAGAAGGCTCCTATGTTTCTTCAGCTAAAGTTCATGCTTGTGGACAAATTTTACATATCTTGTTGATGGCTGGCATGCTTTAGTGTGTTCGTACAACCCTCCTAACTGGAACTAGAAGATACATCGTCAAGGTTTTGCTAGACAGGGCCAGCTTATGTCCAGTCTGTGTGATAGTTCTTCCTCTCTTGATGCAGATGGCTTTACAATATTGAAGTACTGCAAAAAGAGCTACACCAAACCCACAGCTGGTTCAGCGACACATCTTTTTCTCAAAATAAAAATAAAATCTTATTAAATGAAATCTGAACTGGAAATCATTAGATTCATTTTATCCAGTTTTAGAACTGGGCAGGGGTTGGGGAGGACAATTTAGAAATGGGCGTATGTTCATCAATTACTTGTCTTCACAACTTCAAATGAAGCATGCATCTAAATGCCTCCTATTCCACAGTAAAGCTGTGTGGCGTATCACATCACCTTGGGTTTTTTGTGGGCTTGGGGCTATGGACTTGGTTTTGTTTGTTTGTTTTCGGTTTGTTTCCCCTCCACCCCCCCAAAAAGATCTGCCTCTGTTAGTTATGTAACTATTTGCATTTCTTGAACACTGTTCTGCTTGTTTGTATTAGTATTTGAAGAACTTTCAGGGTATTATGATTCTACATGAATGAGGAGGTGTTCCTCGTTATAACTAGTTGGGAACCTTCCTATCACATACACAGAGGAAGTATTTTTACAGTTAAATCCCTGTATTTTGTATCAGTCTTTTATATATTCAAAGAGAGGAGCATTTGCTACTTTCGACTGCAAAGAGTACAGACTGTAAGTTCAACTTTGCTTGTACTTACCTCAGGGACTAAAAATAATTTCAGATTACTATAGCTTACCCTGTTCTGAATGATTTCACACTAATAGTTTTTCCTGCTTGTTATATTACAAAAAAATTTAGGAGGGGGAAACAAACCAACCAACAACAACAACAATCTCACCTGCAGTGTAATGCTGTCTTCCTGCACCTCCACTGCTACTGCTACTGCCAAGACTAGTAGTGCTTTGTGCAAGCTCACTTGTAATTAGCCCTGGGATTCCAGTTCTTGGTGACAGGTTATCTAAAATATTATCTTCAAAACCAGCAGGGAAGTTAAAGTCTGGTCGATTGTTTTCTTCCTTTAATATATGAAGAAGAAAAATCAGCATTTTTTAATACTTCCAGATCCATTATTTGACTTCCACCTCTATCCTAATAAATAAATAGAGTAGCAGATTACAACGAAATCCTGATGTAAAAAAATTATTAGATGTAAAATAAATCCACACAAAACCAAGAAGAGCAGATATTGGACAAACCAGAAGGATACTAGAAAAATGGAAGGCTTTAGCAGTGAAAAAATGTAGCTGAGGATCAAACTGGGTCACAAAGTGACAGGGATATAAATTTCTTTATTACAAGAGAAAAAGGAAAAATTATGCAGAAATTGTGATTTGACAGACATTACACAAAAATGAATCAATATCAGAAAAAACGTCCAAGTTAAAGTCAGAACTGAAGACAGGAATGAAACATACCACCCAAAATGATGCAGCAGTAACATAGTCACAAAGACACAGGGTGCAACGAAGTACAATAATTAGGATATTAAAAAAAGGGAAGTTGCAGAAATTAAAGAGGAGAGAATGAAAATGTCTTTGAAGGAAATTAAAATCAGACACATTGAGGGGATTATAATGTACCATAAAACAAAATTCTATGGAATAGGTCAGTATAATAGAAAGGCACAAAGGAAAAAGTAGGTCACGGGAAAAAAAATGCAAGAAAGAAAGCAAACCAGTGAGTCTTCACTGTCATAGGCAAAATCATGTTAAAAAGAAATTAATATGCTTTATTTTTATATAATAGAAAGGACCCTATTACCAACATCAGTTAAATTTGTTTCACATAGAAATAAATCCAGACAACTATCTTCACCTTTCCCACTTCTTATGGAGGCTGGGGAAAGGAGGGAGAATTTGAAAAGGAAACAAGATGCTATATAAACAGCCTGAAGAAGGCAGGCAAAAGATCCTTAAAACCAAACGGCAGACCGAGGGGTTAACTGGATCAAGACGAGGTCTAAGAGAGAAAACTACATTTGGAGGCACAATAACAAGATATATATGGAAAGGAAGAAGTTTTAATATTCATCCCTCCATCTCCTCTTTCCTTTGTGTCATTTTACTCTGAAATGGTTTACTCTGAAAAAGACTGCTGATCAAGTTTTCTCATGCAAGAACTACAACATTTAGTTTCCAAATTCCTGATGAATGAATTTACTAGACCTCAGGCTGCCCTTTACTACTTTCAACTTTAGCCTCACCAACCTGGCTTCTTAAGTTTGTGATTTGTTTTCACAATCTTTTTATTAATTTTTTAAAGTAAGTCAGGCGGTATGATATCATTTAAAATGACATTATTCTGTTCTTGGTGCAAATTTATAATTTAATTATATTTATTTCTTTAAATATAAATAAAAAGATAAGCAGATAAATAAATAATTGGGGGCAATGCTGAGAAGAAAAAGTTTTTTTCTGCATCAACCATGAAATTTGCTTTTGTTTGAAAAGTGGGGTCTTTTGACATAGGAAAACTCCACTATACTTAAAATAAAATTTTTGTTGGGTTGTAAAAGTCAATACTGAATAAAACCCACTATCTCGTGAAGCAAACTTCTGGACAAAAAAAGTTACCCCTTTATCTTTGTCTCCCCAAACTTTTCATGCTGAAAAAAACAACCAAACACTTGCCTCATCATCTGAGTAACTATATGCTGAAGTTACGACTCCCCACATCTTACTGGCCACATTGGCAGCCTGCTTCATGCCTGATTTCAGAACATCCATTTTTGGTCCAGACAGTATATTGTCTAACTTCAGAATGGATAAAGTTGTTACGACAGATCCTAATGAGCCATGCAGAGAAGAATGACCCAGTCCTGTCAAAGATGAAGACCGCTCCTTTTGAACTCGTGGATGGGCTTGTTGCTTTGGTCGTCCAGTGAATGTTTTTGATCTGGAGACAGAAGGACTTCTCCGATTTTCATAAGACTTGGGGGATGGCAGGACAGGATCCAAAGGCAGGCTTGACCTCCTTTCTTGGGAGTGACCAAGTGTACCAGAGGCTTCTGCTTCCCTATCTGGCTTGTGCAGTTCCATGCTGGGAAACTTACTACGCAAAGGGTTCTTCAGATTCATATACCTCTCTATTTCATCTGCCAAATTCCGTGCTGCAACTGGTGACGCCAACTTTTCCTCAGGTTCTGGATGCCTTGGTTGTATGCTGTCAGTAGCCAGCAAAGATAAAGGATCTAAGCCTACCTCAACATCTTCCCTTTCAACAGGCTTAACCACTCCATAAAAGCTATTTCTTTTAATAGTTGTGTCTTTGGATTCTGGTTTCTCAGTTTTGGACTCAGCCAACTGTTCAAGGTTCATGTCTTCCACTGCAGTCATGTTTTCATCTCTTCCATTCTCAATATGTTCCTGCCCTTCCCCAGGTTCTTCCAGCACTGGTGAAGACCTATGCTCCAATTCCCAATCACACTCAGTCACACAACTCCACGTTCCACTTATGCTAGAAACCTGCTGGTCAGCGATACTTTCAAAGCTGTTGGATTTATTCATATGACAGGGTGAAGTTCTGGCTCCAGATAAAGCCGCTGTTAGGATCTTAGCATCTGCTCCCATCATTATTGCGATTTCTTTAGAATGCAAATCCAAGCTGCCTTTTTTCAGCAGCATTCCCGCTCTGCTTTCACTGCTGAAACTGCAGCTTCTCTGTGAGAACAGTTTCTGCCTCTTCTGTCCTTTTTCACTTGTTTTCTTGGGAGAAACATCACCAAAGACTACATCTTCAACCGAATCCTGAGTCATGAAGAGTGGGCTAGAGCCAGTTTCTAAAAGAGGAAAGGCATTAGTAAGGTACCTGTAGCCAACAAAAATTTCTTCCTGAAATCATGTAAAATCTCCTTACCAGTGAGAAGATTAGGAGCACCATAATCTCAAGTTATCCATTAAGAAGTTATTCCAGTATTAACAAGTTATTTTACTGGCTGCAAAGGCATCCTGCAGATCAGAAATCATCTACTCTGACTCCTTGAAGTCAAAGCCTTTTATGGCTTCTACTTCCTTTCCCTGTATCAACACCCAGCTGAGAGTAGGTACTATTTCCATGAACTAAAGGAAAGTACAATTATAAGTAAAGATTGCTTCCCCCCACACCCTCACCACCCCCGAGCTATATTCACAGATCTGTACATTGAACTCCATAGTTCATTCTCGTTCTGGAAAACCTACTGTGAGTGTCTGCACAACACAGAAGCACTACTTTGTTTATGACACAGCCATATTTAGAAAAAGCTAATTAAATTTAGCATATGGAAGACATAAACTAATCATAAATATTCCCATTTCCTCTGGGGAATTGGGAATATTTATATTCTAGAAAGCAGTGTTAGCTAGGCACAAACCTCCGTTAAGTACAGCAATTCTACTATATTAGGATCCCAGAGGTCACGATGTACCTACACCACTGCTGGAGGATGTTTGAGTCTCACATCAGTGCTGCTTCTTGACTAGCCACCAACTCTCATAACTGCCAGAACGATTCTAGGCAACATCTTGAGACTCAATTCTTTTCATATCAAGCTACACTGAAGCTGAACTACATTGCCTTAGTCAAGGACAGGTGTAAAGGCAGAAACTAAATGAGCCCCAAGACTTGTTTTTTTATATATCTATATCTTCCTCATCGTAAAGCTCCAGATACGTAAGTACATTCTGTATGGCACATAGACAACATGCATTGTTCCCAGGTTACACACTGGGGAGTAGAGACCCTAATCCTCTTGTGTTTTCTAGTTTTCCTACGGAACACTCTTAGCATGGGACAGGGAAAAATCTTGATTTCTATTTACTCAACAGGGATTTTCAACCTTAGAATCCACAGGTTCCTTCTAAGTCACCTGCAAAGGATAATGGTAGAAAGCAAACGTATGAGGTACCTGCACCCTGAATACAAGTTTTGTTTCCTTTCATAGCATGAAAAAGATTACAAAACACTACAGCACAACAAGATCACAACTTTAGCAAGCTCTGTTTCACCCAGTGACTTACCACCACTGCTTTTCCTTCCACTGCTATCAAAAATGCCAGATGGAACTTTCACAATACTGTTACCCCAAGCAGGTGGGTCTGTTGGACTATGAGTTTCTATATCCAGCTGTTGCTTTTCATCAGATTTCTCAGTACAAACCTCTACAAAAAAAGAGAATGTGAACTTTAGTTAATTTAACGAAATAATTTCAATTTTACTGCTTGGAAAATATAAACTCAAACACTAATGCAATTACAACCCTCAGAATCAGTCCTGCTAGGTACTGAGCATTTCCTGGAAGTAATACCCAGACAGATGACTGCAGACTCCTTGGTATTTTTTCAACTAACCGAAGAAGAGCAAGAACAGCAGATCTCAGATTTCTATGCAGAGTTACTTGTCTAATGGCAGCTTTAGATGCCTTAACTCCATTAAGGATCTGGTAACACAGACATGAAACAGATTCAGTAACGAGAAACACAAAATACAGGAAAACTAAGGGAAAATCTGGATAGATGACAGGAGATGACCGTATTTTATACAGTTGGGAAGAGTTTGTAGGAAAAAGTAGTGCCTTTTATTATGTCAACTGGTACAGCTAAAATATGGTCAAATTTTTGAATATAAGAATGTCAGGAACAGAACATTAAATACTGTGTGCCTCAGCACTTGTCCAGTTTTTCAATCTGTATGAAATTAGCCTAATTTCTAGAAGAAGCTATGGGTAGAAGAGGTTATTTCCACCCATACGTATTCCACTGCTTTTACCAAGGGCATAGAAATAGTCCACCAGATTCCACAGAGTCGTATTTTGACCTTGGCAACATTATGAATCCAATGCATTAAGTATTTGTTGTAGCCTAATACATGCAGCGGATTTATTACAAAAAGCCTTCATCAATGTAAACATGCATACTTAACCTCCTATTAGGTCTTCAGCTTTAGAAGAAGTATCTTTCTCTACTTGTGTTTCAGTTGCATGAAGACTATCTCCATCATCTCTTAAAAGTTCATCCTTGGATCCATAGCCCTGGTCTGACTGACCACCTGTTTGAGGGAATCAAACACATGCCTCAGATTTGTTTTTCTTTCCTAAATTTGTTTTACAATAAGAAAATAAAAAGAACTGACATTAATTTGTTGCACATTTTGTTTCTTTAGAAAAGTTCATAGTAAGATCACCAAATAGCCTAATCTGTGCAGAGATTTACTTGGTGATGGTGACAGCAGTGATAATTAGGCCATACAATCCAAATTTACTTTTCTAATTGTTACGTTAAATACAACTTATTCCCTCAGGAACACTAGTAGTGACTAACTAATTTTAATCCACTCTATCTCCTTTCTCTTCTCATTAACATGAAGTATTTCATTGCTGGGCAGGCTAAATTCTCAAAAGCATCTACAAAAGAAATTTAGACAAGCACAACAGTAATTGAGCAAGCTTCTAACAATGAATACAATCCCTGAAGAGAACGGTACCATAAACTGTGCTACATCTTTGGGTAACGTATAAAACATAATAGAAAAAATATTAAAATTCTAAACATTTTTAAGAAGTCTTCCTCCACGACACCAGTTAAACTTGACAGCCATAACTCATTCTTAAAAAAACAAAAGAACAATGAAGTTTATGGTAGTTTGAAAAAAGTCTGCCATAGGAAACAGTCCATAAGGACAATCTTTTTTTTTGTTACTTCTAGCTGAAATACTGCTGCATATGCAAAAATACAAAAATACTGTATGGGACATGTCCCACAGCAACACATTAAACAGGATTATTTATATGCTTTAGAGTATCTATTAGAATACATGACACTACTTAAAAATACCAAAGTATTGATTATGAAAGGTATTAGGAAGTTCCATAAAACTTGAGCTACAGACATAATTTATCTACAATACATATTATTGCTGTTTATTTTAAAAACAAGGAGCAAACATACAAAAAATAATTATATTTAGAAGTTTGAGCAGCCATCAATTACTATGTTTGGCTACTATATTAAAAACCTTTATATAGAGAAGTAAGTTCTGATGTTTTTCGGTCCTTATTTTCTCTCTATCATCACTTCAACAATGTTAGTACCCCGGATTTGCACAGAAGTGAAAACACCCTATCAAGAAATGGGTGAATTAAATTACCTGCAGAAGTAACATTCAAGGGTAGAAACAATGCACACGTGCATGCAAGGCTTCACACCATGTAAGTCTGCACCCCACACCGTGATAGCCAAGGACAAACGCGGCACCCAAGAGACAGCAAAGAGCAAAAAGCAGAGTAACAAAGAGCAGAGAGAAAGGAAGTTCAGTAATCTAGGCAGGCATATCAGAAGAAGCACAGGAATCAGACTCAAAGTTCTTTTTACAGAAGGGCCCAAGATATTAAAAACATGAAGAGTTTACAAGAACCACCTGTACATTAAGTTTAGAAGTACACACAGAAAGGAAGTTTAGTTGAAATTGTGCACAGGTAGGATGTAATCAGTACTAAAGCAGATACAAAGAACCATTAATTCTGTCTTGTCATCTGAAATTATTAACTTCCTGTGCACTCTTTTACTCCTGTTTGTCTGGAAGAGTTGATACCATGTTTAAGGCAGAGTTTTACTCTGGCTTATCACCTGTCTTTCCATCCCCAGGGTATTTCCAAGTTTAGCAACTACCACGAAGCAGCTCGAATATGGTCTTTAAAAGCATAGTTTACTATAACCAAACATAACATACTAATTCCAGGAATGTTAACTAGGCCTTTCTGGATTACCATCAAGGAGCAACTTTTTAAAGTGTTAGCTTCTAATCACCTCAGCAACTTTCACTCCTTTCCTTTAACGCAGAGAAAGTTTTTACTCACAGAGACTGCAGTTTCTATGAAAAAATTATAATATGCAAAAATTGAACAGAATCATACGTCAAAGGCCTCATACATTTTCTGAAGATTAGCACAAAAAACAAGGTTCCTGAGACCACAGTAAGACATTTAATTTAACATAACAGCATTTCTGCTACGGTTCACTCTAAACTAAAGTAGCAGCATAATCTGCAGTTAAGGAGTAATATTCAACAACAGTGCATTTCTTTTTCTTTATAAAGTTTAAGTCCATGTTTCATTCTCTACAGCCTGAAGAGGGGAAGGTGGTGGTTGGGGAGGGCAAATCAACAAGAAACTAGAAAATTTAGCCTTTGGGTGACTGTTAGTAGTGAAACCCAGCAGAATCTAGTACCTGTGCTAGAGTGATTATCAATGGAATCAAGCCTGACTAAGTCACTGACGAAGAGAGTGTGCTCCCCAGTGTTAGCATCATTAGAACTATCCACACTACCATGGCTCACCATGTCCCCATCACTTCCACCCGTGGTATTCCGCAGAGCTAAAGACATGAACGAGAGCTGGTTTTCAGCGTGTGGAAGACATTCTAAGACTGTTTCAAGCATCAAGTTGGCAATTATCCATTTTTATACACTTAAGGAAAGATTTTCAACTTGTGAAAGCCACACTGTTAGCTGCAATCCCTCAGAAAGCATGTCATGCTGTTGTTTGGCAGAAATAAATCCATTTCAACTAACCCATTACCTGATATCACATGTCCTCGTGGCCTCTGCGTTGATTTCTTTAAGCACTGCCTAAATTGTGCTGTGCCACGAACTACATTCCGTACCTTTGTCCATAGGAATATGCCACTGCGGTTACTGCTAGGCCAAGGAGACTCCAAAACTGCCTGCAGAAAAGAGACATTGCAATAACAAAAACAGTAAGAAAATTACACTAAGAAAGACAATACAGTAAGAAGCTTTTCTTTCCGTAACCAAACAAGGCATTTCCTGTCAGCCATATGACAACGGACAAATATTTTGAGTTTTTGTGAGCAGTTCCTTTTTATCCCACAGCTCTGCATACAATAGCTGAGTAATAACAAATAATGGATCAAGATTTCTTTAAGTAAACAAAGTGAGTTTTTTTTCTTATTTACATACTTGGATAGCAACAAAAGACCATAGTAACACCTCTTTTCCTATAACCCTACATAGTTTACGCTACTAAGGATGTTTCATCAGCATATTACAGGAACTTGGAATTCAGGAAATGAGGGGGAGGCTACTTCAACTAGCCTAACTCCAGCCTTCATCCAACTTGGATCATGCTACCTTATAGGATATACACAGGAACAGTTGGTTTTGACATAGAAGCACTAGACAGGTTCCAAAACTTGGAAATAGAAACACTATGTGTATTTCAACACAACTTTTGGTTAGCCAAATAGCACAGGTATGCAAACTTAACGATGAAAAACCATACAGTGTAGATCCAGTGAACCATAAGCATGTCCAAAACAATTGCTTGACAACAAAATCAGCAAATTTAAGTGATGAGCTGTAAGAAACAATCTTCAAGAGATGCTACAGGACAAGGGGAGTGACAACAGCAAGAGAGACAAGCATCCCTCCTTAAAACCTCTCTTACCTTATTATAATAACCATAAGTGATGGCATTTGGCTGTATTCCAGCATTTTTCATTTCAAAGAGGACTCTCACAGCCTGAACAGGCTGTCCCCACAGGCCACAGAGCTGCATTACAACCCTGTAGCAGACCTGACAAGACACAGAAATGCAGAAATGAACTGATGACAAGGATTTTGAAACAGCTTAAGCTCTTCCCCGAATTTCAACTTCTACACATGTAAAAGGGAAAGCCGTGTGAGAGCAGCTACTCAGTACATAACACTCAACAGCCTGAAGAGGGAGCAAAAATTAAACAGGAAATCACACGAGCTGAAATAACACCAGCAGCCACATTGTTGAGAATGCTGAATTTTTTTCCACTCGGCTCTTCTGTTTGTGAAATAAAGGAGGGAAGGAAACGCCCACACAAAAAACAGGATAACTTGCTGCTGTGTGCTTGCAGATACTGCCGAAAGAATGGTATGCTGCACATAAACCCGTTATCCCTTCAGTTCAGTTAAGGCTGCAATGCATTAACCAACGTGCATTTTAAAAATACGGATAGTCAAGAACTTCCTTCTTGAAGAAATCTGGGAGAAGTCCAGCAACATGAAGTTGGAGTACTTGACCCTGCTGACACTATGCTTGTGATGAAAAAAGAAATTAATTTTCAGTTGCCCTAGTTAAGCAGACTTCTTTGAGATCATTTCAAGGTGGCTTTACAACAGGTCAAACTGCAAGTACGCTTAACCTGGTCGTGACAGTGAAACACACGACATTTGCACCTTGCCTTCTGTTCCACATTTACGGTAATGCTTTTTTTATTTGCACTTGCCTCATCTAGTGGTTCCACATCAGTTTTCCTCATTTTAATTAGAACATCATATGCCTGCTGCAGTGCTTTGACCTTGGGGTGTGCAACTCTGATGTAGGCCGGCAGACAAATAAACCATAGGCTGTAACTGTGACTGAAGAGACACTTAGCCCACTGTGGGGGGCTTACGTAACACTTCTTGGCTAATTTATGGGCTGTTTTTATCTCCTGTAAGGGTGAAACAAAAGAAAAAAGCAGAAAACCAATGTGACATCCTAATCTAGAATCCATTACTAACTCTGATACTGGCTGCTTAAAAGTAAGCATTTAATAATGAAGGACAAGCAGTCAACTGAAGCTCCCTTCTTACTACTCTCTTTATTAAGGTTCTCAGCAAGCAAACACTAGCAACAGAATTAATCCCGTTTTTTTCGTCCCCATTCAAGCATTAATTTTAATTTCCTTTTGCTTTATATTACAGTCTAAAGCTTAAAAATGAGTTTGATAATAAACTGTAATCTCAGATGCTACTTTGTTTATTTGCTGCTTTCGTTTCTTTCTTTTGCAAGAGTTGATTCTCAGTAGTTACAAAGACCTAACCCCTAACAGCATTTATTTATAGTATAAATAGCTAGTGGCAATTTTACTAAAAAACTTCATCTTTCAGTGTTCAAACTGATTGCATTAGGACTCATCTGACCTGTTTCGTCCTGTTTGTCATGAGTGCTGGACTATTTGAAATGCTGCTTCCAGCTGTGTGTCTGCTGAAGGAGTGCTTGAGCTCCTGTGGCCGGTCAAAGAGCTTGAAATCTAGTCGTGGGAAGTTTTTATAGCTATATAGATGATTAAAAAAAAAAAAAACAACCAGAAAATAAAAGCTTTTCACATGCCTGCTGATAGCAGGAAAGCCATACAAAGACAACTTGCGTGCAAAGAACTGAAACATGTGAATAAAGAACCAGTGGAACAAAACCAAAAACAAAACAAAACAAAGGGAAGAAAACAGCAAGATCCTTTTAGTCTTAATCACAAATATATCACAAGAGAATGCCTTGGACATTAAATCTCTACAGATAACGGAAACAAGAACCTGACCGCCATCCATATGACGAAGGTCAGGCAAGCACAGATGATGATTAACAAGGACAACAGTTGGAAACAGAACCTTTATGAACTCCAAAGGAGACAGGAAGAAAAAAATCATACCCAGAGTGTCTGAAACTCCGGACTTCCTGCACAAGGCTGAAAAACACTGAATGAAAGAAGCCTGAAAAGTAGAGTGGTTGTTTTCTTCTTCTGGTTCATCAGCTGCAGATCAATAGTAGTAGGCAGATCCATTACCCACCCCCTGTCATTCCCACTGTGAAACAAAGCGTACTGCATTTGCTACAAAACTCATGTAAACAGCTCAAACAGGAAGATAGTATCACTAAGAGCTGGCAAGAAGTTACTGAAAAATTAAAACCGAAATCTGCATGCTCTGTGTGTGTATGTTCAAGTGCATTTACTTCTAGAGCTTCGGAACCTTACCAGAATCCACGCGTTTCATAACGGTTTAAAGATTCTTCTGAACATGGTATCAAGGCAAGTCTTCACACCAAGACAGAGCATCTGCCCTACTTAGCATCATAAGTATTCTAGTTTCACATACGTCACTGTTTAACTTGTACCTGTATTTTGGCACTCGGTCCTGTCCATCATCAGCAGGAGGTTCTGGTGGCATTATGAACACTGTGTGTTCGCTTTTCTGTGACTCATCAAGCTCAATCAACCGGGTGTCTTCGACAGAATCTACATCAACCTGAGAACGGAGTTTGTACATTAAGTACAGTCTCTGGCTTTGGGATAAAGTGTCTTTTTAAAGATTAATTACGTTAGTATGTCTAAAAACATATTTAATGCAACCTGTACTTGATTATATATATTATGCCCATTACATTTGTTCTAATTACTCAAATATCAAGTCTACAGCCTTGTCTTTCCATTTGTATTTCATGATTAGGTATCCCTAAACATTCTGAAGGACAAAGTACCTTGTTTCCTTTTTCTGTTCCTTTATCCGGAAAGAGCTGGGAAAAGAGAGGGAAGGAAAAAAAAAAAAAAGTTTCTTCTCGACTCAAAAAAAATATCCTAAATAATTCTACTAAAGTTGTGTCATTTACTGAAATATTAAATAAGAAACACTACATTTTCATATTACTGTGGAAGTATTTAATCTCTTTTTCAAATACTTTATTTGCTGAAAGTAAGAATATGCAGTAATCAACATGCTTTCCATCTGCTGACATTATCTACTAAATACAAAATCCTAAATCTATCGAAGGAAAGTGCTTTCATTTAGTTTAATTGAAAGAAATTGCTGTTTTGCAGATACTTTCAACATGACAATTTAAGTACACAACACATTAACAACCTGCAATAATATCAAATTATTAACAATATTAAACAAAGTATACTCCAGATGCAAACTCCATACTCAGCAGAAAGTAAAATAAAGGAAAAAAAATTGTAAACCCTTATTTTGTGGTCAGTTTATAAGTGTTAATTTGATAGCTATCAATACTGAATCAAAGTCTCATTCTGTAAGAGCTTGGTATGAAAATGAAGGCTCTGTCCAGAAAGAATTGTATATATACACACCTTAAAAACACCCCATAATTCTCTACCTCCTAATTTTTTTATTGTGAACTTGGTATTTCACAGGTGAAGCTATAACCTCAATAACCCACGCAGACCAGAACCATGCTGAAGAGACTTAGTTTAAAGAAGAATGGGTCACAGCAATCTTTCTCATATAAAATACAGGCTATGAAAGAGGATCTCACCTACATAAAACAGTTTGGACCACAAGTGGAGCACTAGGCATGTTTTAAGTTTAAATGGTGTCAAAAGGAGCAACAACCCAGATGACCAATGGTAGCTAATTCCATGTTTGCAGGAGGGCAATTTACATTTAAAGGGAAGGCATGGAAGACAGAAAATGACTGTGCAAGACGACGGAGGAGGAAAATGACTCAGCAATAACCACCAAGAACTCCAAACCCTCAAAACACTTGCTGGAGAGAGTATCTACTTTTACAGCTAAAACCCAGGAAAATAACACAAAATGAACAGAAGCGTATAATTTAATACTATTGCTACATGTTTTTCACCTTTTCTATGCAGTCATCAAAAAACGCCAAGCCAGTATCCTTGTCACTCACAAAACTGCACTCTTCAATAAAGCGGCTGAATATCTGCGTTTTGGTGAGATGCGTGTAGAACTTTGTATAGGCACGGTCTCTGCTTTTTAAAAATCCTGGTTATAAAAAGGAACACGTAACTAAATACCAGTGACGAGTTCCCTAAGAAACTGACATACAAAGTGTCGACACAAAATATTTAAAGTGCTAATACATGAAGCATTTGCTTTATCAATAAAAACAAACACCCATCACTACTTGCACTCGCAAGATTAAAATAACAGCTTTCTAAAAAAAATAATTATTTTTCACCACAGTTACCAATACTCGGCACGCAATCACCACCATGTAATGTGCTCACTGTGTTGATTTTTTGTGCAAGAAAAAGGAGATGACACTCTCATACAAATGCAGAAGTTTCTAACATCTGAAATGATGTATAATAAAAATTGCGTTATCCTCAGAGATGATGGGCCTGAAAATGTTTAAGACTTTCCAAACCTCTGGCTAAAAATCTCTCCTCAAATCTCTCTCCCACTAAAAAACAAAAAAACCCAAACACCAACACCAAACAACATTCCCCAAACAAAAATAAGAACAACCCCAAAACACTACCACCACATACAAAACGGAACACCTGTGATATTTTATCTAGCATTCAACTCATCATGAACAGATCAAAAGTTAACTTGATGAGATGAGGAAAATAAGATAACCTTCACTGACTATCATTTTGTTACATTTTTGATCTCTCCCTCCTTCTCTATTCTCTTCCTGTCTGTATCAAGAACATTACACTGCTCTTCATTACTTGGCTTCTGGCATTTTTGCTCTGTACAAATTGAGAAATATTCTTTCATTCCCAAGCACTGCCCCTACAGAATATGCCATGCAGAGAGGGCATCATGCTACCGAAATACAGATTTTCTACTAACAGAGCTATTGCAAAATTACAATTCTATGTGCACGTTCGAATCGACTTTGAACAGTTTAACTTTATACGACTGCAATTTTAAAGATATTGCCAAGAATTGTACAACCAAAGGGAACTTTGACCTTTTAAAGTTAAGAAGCTCCTCAACCCTGAAGTTGTAACGTTGCCAAAGCTATCAGCAGCTGGTTTGCCTCACCCTCACCTTGATGATCAAACAGAGAATCAGCGGCAGTTGCTTTATTTGAAGGTGCCTGCGTGATTGGCTTGAGGAATGTTCTGTAACCCTTTAAAATAGATGCCATGAAACGAAGAAAAGCTTCCTGGATCTCCATCTCGAGTTCTATCATCTTCTTCTGCCAGGAGAAATCTGCCTCAATAGGAGTCATCTCTACTGCAGAGCCTTCTTGAGTTTTCCTGTGAACTAGCAATGAGCAACCCTGTATTAAAATTCAGTGCGTTCAAACATTTAACTTTTGCAAGATGCTGAAGACGGATTTTTCTTTTTCCTACGTGCCCATTTTCATAAGTGACGAATACCAGAAATCCTGTGATTACTTTCCAATTGATCTGGCTCAACTGGATACCTCAAGAGTTGATTACGTGTTTTTCAAACACATCCAGCCCACTGGGACATGAAACAATGAGGAGGATCTCAGTTGAGTTAATGTTACCACACACCTAACAATGTAGTGTCTTTCAGTAACACAGCAACACAAAGGAACATGGTTTTCCCTGTTCTGAAGACCGCATATCTACAAAGGACCTCAAACTCTTTTTCTAATCAAAATTCTAACAATTTAGTGCACCAAAGTGTAGAAACAAGGAGATGATATTCAGAAGTTACTCTTGCACTCTGAGAAAAACAGTAACTTATACTCCTGAATCTAATAGTTCCACAATTTTTATTATAATGAAAACAATTATTGTAATAGTTATTCATATATGAATATAAATAAATATTGTAACATATCTATTACAATATTGCCAGAATAGAAAAACAAACTATCTAAAAAAGATCCCTGGTTCTGCCCAAGTTAAAATTACAAAGCAGTCCTATATTAGGTAGATTGCATGACATACCCTGCTGATAAAACCAAAAGAAAAGTTGAGGTTTCCTAACAGATGAAGTAAAGGCTATCTGCAAAAACCAGAAAACTGAGGCAAGAACACCTGCTTCTTAATTAATGTATTTTTTGTTTCCATGATTCACAGATTTTGTTTATCTTGTATACCTATGAGGCTATCATTGTTTCCTTCTCCATGCTGATGCAACCTAACTAACAGCTTATCTTAAACAGCCAAGCTACAGTCAGATATAAGCTATATCTGAAAACTATTAGGGCAGCTACAACTTTGCTTTTACCTGATCAAGTCATTAGGATGAAGACGGTGAGTTTTGTTTCTTCTTTTGACAAAATACTTTGTTAAAATATAGCTATTTATTTTTGTAGAAAAGTCATTATCTGAGATATTCAGCAGTATCTGCACAATAGCTGAGATATTTATCATTATTTTATTCACATTCACACTCCCTCTGTTATTTTTCATCAAAACTGTGAATATTGGTTAGGTCGAGATTCAAATGTGGTTTAGCTGAACCTTTCTTTAAATACAATTTAATCATGAGTAAAGGCTAAAAAAAAAAGCTCAAATTTTAAGAAGTCACAGCGAAGAAAATGAATGTCTAAAAAGGTAATTCACAACACATATAATAGAAGGAAGTTCTTATATTTATATACTGATTATAATTTAGGACTTGTAGGTGTGCATCACAAAATCTAGTAATTTTCTTTGAATATTTACTTTCCCTGCTTTAGGCAGTTTCTGTTCTTACCCATTCCCATTTTATTTTATATATTTCACCTGCTGCCAGCTGTGGGTGAAGTTTCTTTAAGGTTCTGAGCAGACTTTTACACGGCTTCTTGGGAAACTGCTTCCAGTTGGTACTCTTCTTATCATCTGATCTGAAACACAGGAGAAGGAAAAAAAGAAATATAAAACACAGACCATATAAAAAAAAAAGAATAGCTTCTACAGCCCTAAGATGCTTCATTTCAGAACACAGTGTCTAAAAAAATTAAATTATTCTGGAAAAAAAAAATTGTGTCTATGCAACTTTTTGGTAACAGGGACAAAGAAAAATTCTCTAAACCAAATGATAGTTTACAAAGCTGACATTGGTTTATTGCAGCACTGAGTGCATGGGGGATAGCTCTGCCTAATACACACACCGAACAGAGTTCTCTGTGCTATATTTATACAGAAGACTTTTAGGATCATTAATATTCTAGTCTACTCACTTTACAATGATTGGTTATACAATTACAGTATTGCTGACATGTTCCTTCCACTATTACGCAAGCTCAGGGGAAGGGTCTTCACCCGGGCAGGGTGGTTCTTGACCTATGGGCGTGATTTTTAGTACTATAAGAGCTGTTAATGAGCAAAGTTCGCAACAAAGAAAAAATTCTTTAAACATCCACTAGTCTACTAAAACACTTCTCAACTTAAAAGGACACTGTTGGGGTGCTAATGAGCATGTAAGCTCCTACAAGCAAGAGGCCCCTCTCTTGTTATCAAACCTTTCTCAGCAATATGTGTTAAAGGAAACACATGAAAAACAGGATATCGGGAAATAAGATGTGAGAGACAAAGTATTATCCAAGAGCTTTGTGAGAGACAAAGTATCATCCAAGCAACTTAACATCTGAAACATCATTAAAAGCAGTGCCTTCTCCAATAAGGCTTAACACAGTAAAAAAGAATAAAGTCAAATCTAACAAAATATGGTCAGAATGTAACATAGTGCATAACAGAGTGTAGTAAAAAAAATAAAGTTAGAACAGCTAATCCTAACAAAACACCATTAAAACAGAACACGGTTCAAACCAGAATGTTATCAAAAACAGCACACAGTGAAGAACAGAATGTTGTCTAAACAACCTAACACAAAAAATACATCTCAACTACTGTATTATTCTAAGAATTAACTTTTAACATCGCTGTCAGCCTAACACAGAGCAAGAACATCTCAGTTACTATATTATTGTAAGGGTTAACCTTTGACACTTTGGCTTGTCAGCCTAATATAAAGAATAAGAACTTCGGGCCTGTAAAAATTACCCCCCTTGGAAGTAGTTAGATTTTCGTACTACTTCCATATATTCTTTTCGATGGTTCTCTTAGCACAACATATGCAGATCCCTATGATAGCCACACTCATAACCACACAGATTATTCCTTCTAGTAACGTGGCTAACCATCCTTTTAGAGACCATCCAGCCAATCCTTGAATGATTTTGTCAAGCCAATTATTTTCTCCTGCATCTCTAATCGCTCTGCTGTCTTCTGCTACTTTTCTCATTTTCTCCAATTGCGCTTGCAGGTCTGTCAGTGATGTCTGGGATGAGGGTACAGCAATGTTCTCCGTCTAATTGAAGATATCCAAACACCCCTTGGTGACCTAGGTGGGACCTGCTGTCTGGACTCTCAACAGACCAGAGGAATCATGAGGACTCCAGCGTGCACCCGAGTATTTTCGGGGAAGTACGCCGATTCCCTGCTTGAATTTTCATGACAGCTTTCTCAAAGATTAACATAAGTAAGAATTATTGGTTGTATTGGTTGCTTAGAAGTAAGACATCTGAATTATGCACACACGGTAGAGCTATTGGTGTCAGTAGTGCACAGCTGTGGTATCTGTACGCTACTACGGGTTACTTTTTGCTAACTTCCTTATTTATCAAAAATTTAAAAAAAACCAAATCCAAACAGGAGTGACATAGCTCAGAATTTCATTTCCTTAGACAGAGCAGTATAAACTGAGTTATGAGTAAAATTTTCTCCAGTCTGTAAGGAGGATCTGCATTAAGATCTGATTTAGAATTCTTAGTTGAAGTTTCACTTAGCTGATTTCTTTTTTTTTTTTCCAGAATTTTTATCAGTCTTCCTAATGTAATTTAGCACAATAATCTGTCTGTGATTACTATTCAAAGCAGACACTACCATAAACCTGACACACTGCTTCTGATACAAATAAAGGCAGTTTGGAATACAACAGGGACTTGTTACTGCAAAATGCTGGAAGACCAGTCTGGCAACTCGGTTCCAGTTTCAACCACAGGCTAGCTGGGACTAAGACCACCAGGAACTCAGTGCACAGTCTGAAAATTCTGTGGTTGATTAAGCAATGGGGTAAATTGTCCTAAAGGGATGCTTATCTTTGTTAGAAGGACAATGGGTACAATGCCAGACCTTGTTTAAGCAGTTGGATAGAGAGAGAGACAGTAGGGAGTAAATCCTGAGAATTCCTATGCCTCTTTTTGGGAGGTGGAGTAGAATTGCTGTAACAAGGATTACAACAAACCTTGCGGCAACAAGACCTAATCAGTTATTACTACCTGAGCTGATGCTGTCACTGCTTGGTTTGCATTTTACATCAGTGAAATGTTTTTCAATTACTATTTGCTCAATTGGCGCCAACATAGAACTATCTTAGGAAGGAAGCCAAAGTTTCAGGAGTTAAAAAAAAAAGCAAGTTTACGCATGCAACTGCCCATTTTTTTCCCCACCATAACGGCATGCCTATAAACAATGTAAGTGGTACTGTTCCAAAAATGCAAGGAAAAAAATCCCGCTATAAAAATAAAACAAACTTTCAAATCTTTGTCCTAAAAAGGCTACTTTCCTTAACCAGCTTTCAATGTTACTTTCACAAAGATAGTTGAAAACATCCAAAAAAAGGCATTAAGGAAGATGCTGAATGAATAAAAGGCCTTCAGTATTTTTTGGCAGTAAATAAAGCTCCAGTCTGTCACAAGGAAGATAGTGTCAAACTTGCTCTAAAATGACACTAGGCAGCCAGACAGATGTACTAGAAAATAACGAATTTTTCAAATGTCATTCTTCTATTACATAGTCTGTCAAAGTCAGCAACAGTGCTCTTAAATATTTTTATACTTTAAAAAAAAGAAACAACAGACACAAAAAACCAGCAGCACTGCCACAGAAATAAAGTAGGGCAGAAAGAGATGTGGATAAAATAAAACGGAACAAATAAAATGCAACATTAATCTTTACTCACTAATAATGCACTATTTTAGAATTCTGTATGATCCTCAACACAAAGGGTTTATGGAGATTTGGTTTTACCTATACATCTCCGAAACTGAAAAATATCCTCATTTCCAGGTTAAAAGTTTTATAATGCAGGTACCCACATCTCGGATTTACCTGTCAAATGTTACAGATGTCAAATTCCTCTGAAAATCAAATGAGCGGTACAGATGAAATATATGCAAAATAGGCAGCAAAAAAGAAAAATATCAGTTGCCTATTTAAAGGGAAATGGACTTCGAAGACAGTAAATGAAAAAGTCCAACAATCTTTCCAACTGAGTGCCTCACAAAAGGTCAGTCACTGGTAGATTTTTAGTTCAGCAACCAATCCTGTAAGGTTGGTGCTTGGTCTTCCTAGCAGTCATCCCAACAGAATCTTGACATCCTTATCTCCCTACCAAATGCCCTGCTTCCATCCCCTTCATTTTTCTGCAACCCGGTCTTCAACTTCCACTCTACTTATGAAGAAAACCATTCAGATATTTTTCAATGAGAATGTCTTCATATAAATAAGTTATCTTCCTTGAGTTTCCTCAATACATTCTTCTTTCACAACACCTATTATAATTATTCCTTTGGTGGCATAGTACTTTGGTACACAGTGATGAAAATACTTTTTGCAGTGTTTTTAATGGGGACTTAGGGGAAGATGAAAAAATATATTAACACAGTCTGCTCCATTGTTTACTATTTCCTTTGATGCTGCTCATCAAACAAAGCATTTCAGTAATGGAAACATTTGCTTCAGTCGAGGAAGGGTCCTTTCGACACAATGGAAAACCAAGAAAGTATTCCACTGACCCATAGATCAAATGACTTATCAAACAGTAAAACAAAAAGTAAAGGGTTAAAAAGCAACAAGAGATGAAGTAAAACTCTGTTTTCACAGATGTGTACTTCAGTGATATTCGCCGTCATCTTGAACTACCTTAGATGCCTCTTCCTGTTTTTGACTGAATTATTTTTAAATGGAAATGTAATCCATAGTTATAAATTAAACACCTGAAACAACTGAATTTTCTGTCCAATTATTTGTACTCTCATTTAGATACATTACAAAAACCAGAAGAGTTACTCTGAATTAGCCTCTCCTTAAGAAGGTGTGAAAAAAATGTTCACCTTCAACATCTTCAGCTTAAGAAAAGCATTGAAAATATAATAATTACGTGAAAATACTTTAGATTGAATACAGTCAAGACACGAAATCATGCTTAATTGATCTCACAACAAATTTGGACCTTGTAACTTGAGAAAAATTTATTAACACTTAAGTGCCCCGATTGCAAGACACCATCAAAAGCTGTCATGAAGGGTCCTAAAGTGCTCATGTTCATACCAACAGTCACCGAACACGGACAAACCAAGTCCAAAAGTGTAAGAAATAGTGAGGCAGGAAAAAGATCCCAACACAACTCTTCTTCCTCTTTTCTAGCTTTTGTCCCATTACCCTAATAAGCACTACTAGATTTGGAACAACAGATCAGAACGCATTACCATTGTTACTAAATTTAAAGCAACGTCTGCACCACATTTTTATAGGCAGCACCAAGTGCTGACCCTTGACTTAGTAAGTTTTAATTTGCTATGAAGCATTAGAAATGAGAAAAGGAACAGAGGACAGTATGAAACGAACCGTATTAGATAGAAGTGTTTAATAGTTTTATCTCCTGAGCATGTCAGAAATCTCCCCATCTACAGATAAATGTAAAAACTCCATAGAACTTACATGTACACCATGTTTGTGTCTAAGTCAATGCACACAATATCCTGTGGTGGGTCGTACAGATCAAAGTATCGTGAATCAACTCCAACAATAAATGGAAGAGGTGCACTGAGTACGGTAGCCAAAGACAAAGGACAGAGGGGGATATATGGACATTGCCACTGAAATGGAAATATCATCTGAAGGAAAAATGAAATGAAATCAACACATTAAAACAAGACAACAGATACTGAACAATGAAAACCCAGAGGTTACATGCAGCAAGTTGAAATGAAATTACTAAAAGCCTTGCAACACTGTCAGAAAGAAGTCTTCAATTTTGACCACTTATTTTCAGCATCTCTCTTAGTTATCTGGGAAAAAATGCTGATCATTCTAATACTCATAGTAACAAGACATGCTAGGACACTTTAACTAAATGCTAATGCTGGGAAAAATTATCATTTAGTACATCAATCATTTTAACTTAAAAAAGCCTTGTAGCAATTGTGGAGTTCGAACTGATTTCTCTCACTGCTGTACGGAACACTTTGTACTTACAGCTACTACAGCTTCAGCAACTCCTGTCAACACAGCTGGTCTAAGAGAATGGAGGAGGATCTTGCCTTCTAGTAATACAAAGAGTAACAGAGTGGCACAGTTTTCCGGTCCAAGATTCATGAGCAGAGTGCTAAAGTTCGCTCCACTAAGGAGTAGGCAGGAAAGGAGAAGAGAATAAGAACGTTACAGGATTAAAAAAAAAAAAAAAAGTCACTACTATCAAACTTCTGACAACTGTTTGGGACCAACTAGTTGAGTAGTGCTAACATTAACACACATCAAACATCTATCTATCTATCTAAAAGCTATCCCCTCGTTATGAGGCTTGTACTGCCACAAAGAAACCTAAATTCAAGTTCTATTGCTGAAGAAAGATACGTCATGCTACTGCTGAGTTTTGTGTTGTTTATGGTGCTCTCACTTATATAGGCACAGGCATCTTGTCTTCATAACAGCAAAATGCACCTACTGGGTAACAACTAATCCAATCACAAACAACACCAGTAGATTCATATGATGGGTGAGCTCGGGGGAAAAAAAAAAAAATCATGAACTAGAATATCCATTTGATCTTAGTATCAAATTATAATACTACTCTGGTAAATTTAACCCATCATTCTGACAGCAACATGCTTTCAGCTTCTATAGTTTAGGCTCCCTTTTCATTTGTCTGGACTGTACACAATTAAGAATTGTATAGACATCTGTAAGAGCACAGGGGTGGAAAATTTGTCCTCAGAATTCTAAGTGCTTACATGCTACTTTGCAGTTTGGTGGCTGGCTCCAATTTTTCACTTAAAGAGTCTGTGTAACAGATGTGATTAAACACAGGATTTTTCTGTATATAGAATATTACATGGTAACGTGTAAGAGAATTTAAAAAAAAAAAGGGGAAATATTTTTGTTTTAACTTAAAAACAAAACAAAAAAAATCAACAAAACCACCCAAACAAAACCCCATGTCACAATCATAGGGAGCTCCAGCCCAGAAGATGCAGTCAGTATCCACAAAGACTGCACCACCCTTCAAGCATAAATACCAATTTCTAGGTATGATTTTGAATTTCAAAAATGTTTGCATGCTTGTGCATTGATTGATTTCACATAACTGAATGACGTGTCTCTGTTGGATCCAAAAAGGGGAAAAACCAAGGTAACAGTCTGTCTATGCATTTTAAAAAAATTTTTGCTTACTACACAGGTTACAAAAATACAAGGTATTTAAATATGGTGGGTTTCTTTTTGGTTTTGTCACAGCCTGCTTCTTCTTTCTTCAGAGTTTCTACAATAATCCGTCAATTCATCTTTATTTCAGCATAATTAGTGATACTATTCTTCCACAAGGGAGAGGTCTATGTCAAAAAGACAACATGGTATAATATTATAAATGTGTATTGAGCTTTCTGTTTATAAGAACTAATAATATTGCGGTAATGTTTGGCTTCCTTCTATGATTCATCTACATTTGCCTCTGAATTTTTCAAGCAGCACACATTTAAAGCATTAATAATGATACCTTAATGGCAATGGTGTAGAAACTGGCTGAGACAGTACTAATGCATCATGGGCAGAAAGCTGAAACACACAAAGTAGTACATGATTCATACGGACAATTCCATAGTTAATACAGTATAATATTCCAATATAGGGATATAACCATAATCTCATAAACTGTCTGGCAGAGTCACAATGTCATAAGAGAGAGTCATCACAGACAGTCCCTGGGACTTTTGTTCACTAGGTCAACAGAGCTCATATTAGTCACTGAAACAATTCTCACAAGTTACAGGAAATCTGTGACTCACTGTTGAACATGTCGCCGCTGCTGGGTGATTAGAGAAGCACAAGAGAGAGTGCCCCCAGGGACTAACCTTTGACCCACAGCAGTGGGTGAACAAGAGAGATAAAGACAGTAACAAACCACACCCACCCCTGCTAAGGTAATGCAGATGGTTCCTATAAAATGCAAGGGTAATGTACAGCAGAAATTTCAAAAGTGCAAATAGAACACTGCTGCCACCCATATCACCTGAAGTCTGAAACAGTCTCCTTTGCTAAGTTACACCAGGTTTACAATAGTGAAAGAGTAAGCCAAACTATCCATCTCGCCCCCTCTCCCATCCCACAGATGGGTATTCAAAGCTGGGTAAAAAGACTAAAGGAAGAAACCAGGCTCCCAAAGGCAAGAAAGAAGGTTTGCCATTATCATAACCAAAAATGGAAGCAAATGTTTTGCTTACCTGCACTAGAATTCTTGGCCTTTGTGGTGAAGGGAAAGGTATATTGTGCATAAAATGAGATATGTGCCTGGAAAGAAGACAAGATGTTAGAAAACCAGTACTGGGGACTAATCCTGGACTGAAAACAATGTTGATCACCTTTTGGAATTGCTATGGTACCATAATTTAAAAAAGCTGTTAAGATTTATTTACTATTTCAGTAAGTTTAAGAGTGTATTTATGCAAAAAAACAAAGAAGCTCCATTCACATTTCACGCGTGAAAACTAACACTGGCAGCTTCAGATACCTACGCAAAAGATAAGAACACATTGGCATTTAGGCAAGCCATTTAAAATCCCGAGCAGCCAAACCCCATTCTACAGTTTCTAATAAGGCTTAGGTAAGAGGCACTACATACTTCACTGCCAGGCACCTAATACGGTTTTGAAGGTAACATCCCATTTCAGCAAACTTTTAGGACCATGAGAAGCATCCTCTACTGAGTTTACACACACACACATGCACGAACATAAAAAATCTGCATCAGTTGCAGTGCTTGTAAACAGACAGATACACATTGCTAATGCACAGACTCCCTTAGCTTATATTTATTAACCTAAAATGCAGGACTGCAAACGTTTCCATGTAACTTACAGCTCAGCCATTTTCTGTGTTTGATGTAGTTAAGAGAAAGGTAAACACACTTGACATACTCTAACAGAAAAGCCACAGTAAAATCCAGTTCACTTTCCTGGCACTGCAAGAGCCACTACTGTTAAACAGAAGCAGCAGTAATTCTTATCAGTGCAAGATAAGTTACGCAGCGCAAGAAAGAGGATGGAGCAAATACACCAAGTCAGTGTGAACGTATAAATCACCTGACTTCTTGAGCTGACTTCTTGACCTTCCCACAATAACTAGAAACATGTTTTACATACTTTTCAATGGGAAGAGGATGCGGTCCAGAGACAGAGAGTTTGTAGATGAACATAAGAAATTTTCGAAATGCTTCAAAGAATGGCCAGTGTGAGAGAAGGCAGATACATTTGTTGGAATTGATGGACTTGGAAGCAACCACTTTCCTCCCTACAGCTGTCAGGAGACCCAGCTGCACTTGTTGTTTTTCCGTTAGCAGCTCCCGGGGATAAGGCTCATAAAACTGAATAGCAGCACCATAAACCTAAAAGATGAAGGAAAAACAACTGAGCAGACACAGTATTTAACAAGAGATTGTGTCAGAACTTTTGAAGCATCCTTAAGTCTTTGGTAGTTGCGCACACACTATAGTGCTTTTGCTGGCAGTTTGCGAGATGACTTTTCATTTATGTAGCATACATAAAGTATCCTTATAAACTAAATGCTTTGCATTCTTGCGCCTCTCCCTCTTTTACACTGCAGTTTTCTCAACAAAGTATTCATACTCGGTAAACTGAAAGGGAAGGAACCAAATGGCATGCTTTGACAAACCCCTATCCATTAACCATTATGACAAAACCAAAAAACCACCCACAAAAACCAAACCCTCTCCATCTGTTCAGTAAATTCCTCTATCAATACCACACTAAGAATAAAATTATTTTAGCTTTGACCTAACTCATTTTATCAAGCTAAACGGCTACTGATCTTTTCTAATATTCCTTCCATATTTGTCAGAGCTTCATTATTAACTGAGTTATTTTGACCAGCTTAGCAAAAGGAGAACAGGGAAAGATGTATACCACAGCATACATTCTCTCTGAGAAAAATACTGGCAGCTACTGCATCCCTCCTTGCACAAGTAGTACTAATATACTGGAGAAAGACATTTTGCTTTGTGGAAATGGAGAAGTAGATAAATTTCCCTGATCAGGAACTGAGACAGAGTGTAAGTTTGGCTCTATTAGTGGTAACAGCTCAACTGCTGTTTATTAGTCACAGAGAGCTAATCAGACATTACAGTCACTTATTCCATCATGCAGTTCACACACAGACACAGCTGGCAGGCTGAAGCAACAACTGGGAGACCAACCCCAAACAAGGGTTCCCTTGCTTCATCAGGAGTATCTATAGCCCTGGAGTCTCCAAGTACAGCAGACACTGCCTTCTCACATGTGGGCTGAGTCAGGCAACGCATTTTTGGTGCCCGCATGCGCTGGTGGCCTTTAGAGTCAGCAGATGGCTGATGTTCTGAATCTATCCCTTGACGTGAATTCAACAGGATCACTGGTCTCAGGAGCTCATCAGTTCTTCAGAGCCTCTTGCATGCTACCTCTCAGCACAAACCTTTTCTCCCCTCACCCTGCTCTTCTCTGGTAACTACTATCCTACTCGCACACACAGACACCTACAGAGCCCAACTACACAAATTCACACAGAAGTCGTGACTGTAGGAAAACCGTAACAACTCAAACACACCTAACACAAGTGGTAAGTGAACATGTCTTTAACATGTAGGCTGCATCTCCATTCCCAGAAACATCTTACTTGAAGGAACAGGGAAAACCATGTGCTGTGAGTTTTCTTTTTGTTAAGTGGATGGGTCAGCAGTTTACATGGGACTAAACAGCACATACTCTTCCAGATATTTCCTGTTTTGGTTTACTTCAGTCTTATATGAAGACTTGAGAAATACAACTTTGTAAGAGAAATATTTAACAAATAATTTCGCAGCATTTCTCAAATACAGAAGAAACAATACCTATTCATGTCCAAAACAGCCATGTGAGCTAAAAGCAAAAACCAGTCACAGTGTAGAGCCATACCTTTTCTGCAGAAGAGCAGGTCAGTACAAATGTTGAAAACACTGGAAGTGGATATTTAGTTTGAGAGTCCCAGCACTCAATGGTAGCTCCCATAGGAAGGCAGAAGAGAGGTACAGATTCTGATAGTGGGAATGACTCATAGTTCTCTTGTGGATATCTGAAAATTAAGCCTTCAGAATGGGAGAAGGAAAAGTAAGCACTTTTTCTCTGCAAGCCCTAAATAATGTAAGCCATATATTTTCCACAATATACAGTGAAGTTTGTGGTTATATGGACTTCATAATGAAGATACCTGCAGAAGAAGAAAGTCTCTTAGTTGACAGCAAGACTATGTCATCCAAGTCACAATCCTTTTAAAATTATGTATGAATACTGAAGGACTCCCTGTTGGTAACTGCTCAGAAAAACAGTACTTAGTAAAAACTAATTAGTGAAGAAAGATTTTTACTTCGAAACAGTTGGGAATTACCACTGCTATCTAAGTGTGTCATTGGAATGGACTGGAAAAGACTAGGGAAATTCCTATGACGAAAGTGATAACTTATCTACTGCAAAAACAGCAGCAATACCTTCATTGAAAATAGGATGAATTAGCTGTCTGTCCACATTTTCTGCTAACTGGTCAGTATGTTCAATTTAAACAAATAGTTTATTCAGTTTTCTGAAATGTATCTGACTGTTGCTGGTGGAAAACAGGCACACAAGCATGGGTTTACTATTGCTGTTCATCTAGCTTATTTTATGGTACACTAACTTCATTACCTGTGCTTTCCACTTCTACTTGGCAGTCCACTCCTTTCAAAAGAATTTGGTGCACTTAGTGCTCAGTGGAATGAATTTTGAAAGGTTTGTAACAAATTATTACTTGTGGAACTAAAGGGAAGAAACATTTAATTTTCAAATTAAACAGATGTTGCACTAGTTGTGAGACATAAAAAGAAATATGAGTAAGGTTGAATGGAATTTTTAATTACTCCTTCTGCATCATCATCCACAGAAGAAATACAAAGTCTTTTGTTATATCTGAAATGCTTTCAAAGCTTTCTGCTAAAGCACCCAAGCTACCAAACCTGTCACGATAAGAACAATGCTAGTTCTATTAAAAGGCTTAGAAGTGTTTTGGTTATTGTCTTTTTTTTCCCCTGGGAAAAAGTGAGGAGAGCAAAGACAGCATTGCAGGAGATGATTTCAGTGACATGATCTAGAAACTGAATTGACAGATAGTACTTAAGCTTTTAAAATTATTATTCGATTTCAACAAGGCATTAGAATCCTTCTGTTAGCATGTTTAGGCAGTCAGCTTCTAAAATTACTTACCAGCTTTATACGCTAAAGAGTTAGAAGCTGACACAGACTTCTTGTAACAAAGGTATACACTGGAACCCCACTGGAAGACACAAGTTTCATATTAGAACAAGCAAAAATGACAACAGGCATAAGTATAAGCATTTCAATGTATTCCCACTTGCAAAGAAAGCAAACATTAAATAAAAACTAACAGAATAAAATGACTGGTTGGCTGCTGAGGATTCACCCTTCTCAGAGTTTTTAGAAGTTACAGGATTTACATAAAATAATCACATTACCACACTACTCTGACTTATTCCAACAGAAGAACAGGAAAAAGTGAAGCAGGTAATTTGCAGCTTCACATTTTCTTGGTTATTTAAAGAGACTCATGGGAATCTCATCAGTGGAAGTGAAATTCTAAACATCATCACTTGAAGCTTTTAGCATACGTAAACATAGTGTATTTGCAATTTGTCTAAATGCACTCTACCATTTGAAAAAAATCATTTGATTCAGCCTGAGTAAACAAAATGCGAAACAGACTGTAAAGACAAACTGACTGAAAAAAAAAGGACATGAAGAAACTGTAAGCAGTAATTATCATTCTTACAAGTCTTAGTAACATAGACATTATAACTAACTAAGAAAAAAGCGTTTGTGATTCATCCCAAGTGTCAGCATCACCGAAGGGGTGGGGGAAGAAGAGGGGTGGAAGGGAATCCGTCGCACTACTCCTAAATAGCGCCCAGACACAAATACGCAAACTGAAGTTTTGAGTAACCACTATGAAGGAGTAATTCCTAACACACCAGAAATCAGAGCAACAAAACCTACAAAACTTAAGTCTCGCACATGGCATACAGAATGAAAGAATTGTGATGTAGTAATAGAAGACAATTAAAACAGTGCCAAGAAGAGTTCAAAGGGTTACTCCTTTGGGTTTGTTTGTTGGTTTAAAAAAAAAAAAAAAAGACACTCAAGCGCTGCAGTACTCACCATACCACAATTTAAATTCTTATCAACTTTGCAGAATGTATGAGGAGGCGTTTCTCCTTTGCTGGTAACAATAACACAGATATCCGTCACTGCCAATGAATTTTGAGGTCGTATTGGAGGAGCCCTTCGGTATGTAATAAAGATCCGTTGAGAAGAAACTGAACTGTTGTTAACATTAGCACAACGACCGTAAGGAGTAGCTTGAATCACCTCGCAGCCCGAAATGATGCGTTCCTTCCCTTCATACAGAACTCTGCAGACATGAAGGAAACAAAATATTATGGGCATTCAAATATACATGAAGTTACCTGGACAAATACACAGAAATTGTCCATCCATTAGCAAGCACCCTATGCCAACATTGCTACAGTCTAATGTGCATTTTGCACGGCTTGAGGCTATGTGCATCATGCACGATCTGAGGCAAAGAAACTGCCCTGAAATATTTAAGTCTTGTAAGAAATCTCTGGGGGAAAAAAAAATACAATCACAGTTATGGAAAAATAAATTCAAGCCACACTGAAAAAGTTTCAGCTATAGATTTAGCAG